CTTTTCTCCTAAACCTGGTGGTTTAAAACTTCCCCGTACACTTTATTTGAATCAGTAAACTTACAAGGTAGATGGACGCCAGACCACGTCTCGCGTAACAGGCTTCGCGATATCTCACGAAACACTGTTGCGTTGCAACGCACCTGGCATACATCTACCTAGGCCTGCGGCGCTGACACCCGAGTCGGGCAAAGGGCACAGTCGTAAATAGGCCTTCAGCCCGAAAAGTCACTAATTTTGTTCCTCGAGGTTTTAGTTTGATTAGTTACTCCATCGGACGCCATCAAATATCTGAGAGCTAACATTACAATGTTTTGGGGTCATTTCCGTGTGAAAAACGCTCTCTGGCGCCCAAACGGTTAAAGATAGAGCCATACGGACAAAATTTTGGTGCAAAGGGTTCTACTTTGACGAGTTACCTTTAAGAAAGATGTAAAAAATATTTCCCTGAAGAAACGTTTTGGGCTTTTTGTTGATGATTTTCTTACACGTTAATTTTTGAGCCAGAGGGCTCAAAATCAATACAGTTCTTCCTTTTTATGATACAAAGCTACAATAAAAATTAGTGTCTCCTAGCTCAAACCGTTTTCGAGTTATCGTGCGTACAGACAGACAGACCGACAGACAGATAAACAGACAGACGCGAAACTTTTTGATCATTACTGGAGCAATAGGCGTCGCTAATCGCTCAGCCAGTCATCACTGGAGTAATAGGCTTCGCTAATCGCTCAGTCAATGAATTTTTTGAACTTTTTATGTCATTTGTAGTCTGAAAAAAAAGTTGCATGTGAATATACCCTGAAGGAAAGTGAGCAGTTAATTTCCAGATGTTTAGTTTTTTGGTCAGAATTCTGGTCACAATTCCAAATTTGCCCCCCCCCTCTCCCGCTTAAAGATGTACACTAGACTCTGTAATTGGTAGCCAATCTCAAAATATTTTTTGTCAGGTTGTGGCAGTTTTGAACGCCCTTGGTGAGCAGAACCAAGGTCTTATTTAGCGCCTCAACCAGGCTCTCGATGATACTCTATGCAGTGATCTTGTTCACTTCCTCACTCCGCTGGACAAGAAATGCCACGTCCTAGCTTCTGATCTCACCCCCATGCACCGAAACATCTGCCCTGAAGACTCCCAGCAGGGTGTTATATTCATGAAGTTTGCGGTCAGGGACCTGCGCGCAATGATGGAGGTCCTAGTCCTCATTCAAAAGGCGAAGGAGGTCGTCACCTACTTAAAGGCGTCGCGTCAGGTCTCGCCTCCAGCCTCTCCAAGAAGGTCCTCCAGGACTGCGAGAAGCGGTGGAACTCCCTGACCGCATGGAGAAAATTGATCGGCCAATGCTGGAGTGGCTGACCAAGTTTTTGCATGAGTTCAAGGAGGAGACGAAAATTATAGAAGGCATCGACCACCCCACCCTCCCCTTCGTGGTGCGTTCCGCGATCACTGTAAGCCGTCGCTTGAGGACACCAGATACCTAGAGATTTTGAAGGAGAGGTGCCTGCGGTTCCTCAAGAACAAGTTTCAGCCAAACATCAAGGCCAAAGTGGCCACATTTTTGTGGCCAGACTACAAAGATTTGGAAATGATTCCTGAGGATGAACGGGTGGAGGTAAGTTTCATGTTTCACTATAGACGTGGCCCATGCAGAAGTATACACATAGTAATTGTGACTTTCTTCATACAGGTTTTCGCTGACGATGAGGGAGAGCACTCCGAGCACGCCAAGGTGCGGGACCTCATCGGTGCGGGTGAGGCCGCCGACGCGGATGATCTCGCTGCCAATGACGCCGCCCCTCCACCCCCAAAAGTCCCCCGCCTGGACAAGTGTACTTCAAATGTACGGCATCCCCAGCACCAGCCTCAGGACGAGGTGGACCAGTACATGGCCATGACCGCCACAGTTGCACCCGACCAGCTGCTTACATGGTGGAAAATGATGGTAAGCTCTCGAGTTAAAAATTTACGCACTTTAGTCGACAAATCCGCATTCCCATTAAAATTTTGGAACTTTTTGACTTTTCAGGACCGACCAGATGGACTTCCAAAGCTGGCCAAGTTGGCTAAAAGGAAGCTTTGTAAATTGACCACAACAGCCCCAAGT